CCGACTGGTCTTCCAGGCCACAAGCCCTCTCGCCTTATCGGCTCAGGGCTGGAAGGCAAGTGTACCTTCCCTGTAAAATCCCAACTTGACTAACCACCACTCACCCCCAGGGCTTCGAGATAAGAACGGTTAAGGGGGATCCCGATAATCGCGGGGCCCACGAAGCCCATAACACAAAAGTATAAAACCCAGAACCCTAGGGCTAGGACGACAGATGACACTTTTGAATGCTCTAGCTTTGAGGCTTGACCTAGGCACAAACCCTAGTCCATCCCTTGGTCGGAACATTTTGGCGCCCACCGTGGGGCTACGGTAAAACTTTTCCTACGCCCCAAGAAATACAAAAAACCTACACTCTACTATGGCGAGAGGCGGCACATCCAACCACGACAACAACACCCTACCATGGAGGAGATGATGGTGTTGATCAATGGCTTGAAAGAGGAGCGCGACCCAGGGAGAGAGAAGGAGAGGAAGTTTCCCGCACAAAAACAGAGTGGGCTCTGTGTTTTCGTCGGTGTAAGGTCTTGCAGCGTTGGATCGAGCTGATTTTTGGACTGTAGGTTCCAGAAATGTGGTTCTTCATTCTGACCGTTCGGATTATTAACTGGATGCCTGGTTTGGGAGAAAACAACTTCATATCAGTAGGTGAAAGTGTTCCAGCACAAAGCAGAGCTGGTACTGTGTTTTAATCGGTGTGAAGTCGTTCACCGTTGGATCGGGCTGATTTTTGGACTATAGGTTCAGGAAGTAAGATTCTTCATTCTGACCGTTAGGATCGTCAATATGAGGTCTGGTTTGTCAAAGAACAGCTTTGTATCAGCAGGTGGAACCGTTTGACGGAAAACAGGATCCTAGTCAAATCCTAATGGACTTTCGTGCTCAGATGTTAATTCGTGGAGGAAGCATGCGAGTCTGCTGCGAGGGTTTTATGCTACAAAGGTTTTTAACGAGGTAACATCAAATAATAAAAATCATTATTTTCAAATTGATTGACTCGCAGGAAAACTCGTGATTGTCGGCAAAAGTCCGGCTGGGCGAGTATAAATAACTCGAAGACCAAACTCGTGATTGTCGGCAAAAGTCCGGCTGGGCGAGTATAAATAACTCGAAGACCAAACTCGTGATTGTCGGCAAAAGTCCGGCTGGGCGAGTATAAATAACTCGAAGACCAAACTCGTGATTGTCGGCAAAA